GACTTGAGAATGGTGGCTTGAAGCCTTTTTTCGTTAAGGGGTGGTTCATCCTTCTTGCTTGTTAGTTTGTTAATCTTTTGTGCCTTTATTCATCACTTTAAAACCAACATTTTTGGGCCTTCTAACCACTGAATTTCAGAGTTTGTTCAGTGATAAAAAACTTATTTTGAAGTCCAAAATTGGAGGGGTTAGCTTCCTTTCCTTGTGTCTTGTTTACATGCCTAGATAGCCTTATGTTTTAGCCTATTAATCTAGCTTGTTTTAGCTCAAGTCCAGCATGTCTCAGCCTCTGAAATAACCTGTTATAGCTCTGTTTTGGGCTGGTTAGTTGGTTTAAGTCTTGTTTTGCATGGTTGTAGTGCAACCCCATGCATTAGATTAATGTTTTGGTCTTTTTTGTCTTGAGTCTAGCATGTTTTAGACCATATTTAGGGCTATTTTACCTCTGTTTTGGGTTGTTTGTTTTATTTGAGCCTTGCAAGGCATGGTTGTAGTGTTAATTTCTTCACTAGTCTAGTGTTTTAAGGTTTTAACTCTCGTTGGTGTGAGTTGGTTGCATGTTTTTAGTACTTTTATCACTTAATTTCAGCACCTAAATCTCTACAATCTCCCTCATTTCTTTACTTTTTGGTTTTGTTTTGAAAGTGGTTTCAAGCCATTTGTTTGCCTAAGTGTGAAATGGAGGTGTTACACCTAATGGTTTAATCCATTAGGGGCTTCATTACCAACAGTGTAATGCCTCTTTCATGCCGAAAGCAACTTGTGGTTTGAGCCCTCTTTCCATTAGAGGACACTCACCAATGGACTTAATGGATTAAGGAATGATTTGGTAATTAAAATGTGTGAACAAAATTGACAAGTAAAAGTGACAAGATAAGCATGTCTTTGTGCTGCATTGCATGTGTTCAAACCGTACGTTAGTTTGAACACAAGGAAAATGGCACATTGATCATGTATGATAGGGTGGTGGTCATTCGAGTCTTATTTGTACATTTATCGAAATTGTACAACTTGGATCTTTGGCCATCATGCAATAAAATTTCCTGATTGGTGGTTTTGGATCCAAGTGTGCCACTCCTTTGAGATTTCGAGATGACAATGGGGGATACAGTACAAAGAAACCCTTGGAAAAACTTTCGTTTTGCTCTGTTTGTGCTCTGTTGCAGTATGGTGACCCAAAGCATCAGTGGTCGGCAATGCCTTATCAATGGCCAGCAAGGCTTCATTTCTAGCCGGCAAATGGCCGGTAGTAGCCATCCATGGCTGGCGGGCCACTGATGTAACCCTCAGCAAAGATTTGGTAAGGTGGAGCAAAAAGATTGTGTAGTATGCTCAACCCTGCAAACAGAGCCTTTCGAGAGCAAAACGGAGGTCTTTTGGGGCGAAAACTGAGTGCATGCATCTTTCACTTCCCGAGGTGGAGCAGCGGCAACATAGTTTAGTGCCTTGCATGATTAGTTTGTATGCATTTGTTTTAATTAATAGGTTTGCTAATTAGTTAAAGTGTTGTAATAATTAGTAATTAGCTTAGCTAGTTATTCATTTGATTTGTAATAATTAGTCTAATTAGCTTAATTAGATTAGCTTAATTAGCATAGCTAGTTTCTTAGCTCTTATTCATTCGGACCCTCTTTCGCGAGGGCATAATGTTGTAATAAGTGTGCGTGTGTGTGTATGTTTTCCAACCCCACGTCTTTCTCCCTTTTATTTAATCGATTTCGATGGTTAGATTAGGGACATATTTCAATTAACATACTTTATGCTTGCATCCATTCATTCTGTCTTGCATACACCAAGGCTCGGCGCATCATTCAAACTACATTGTCATTTCAATATCTTCTTTGAATACGTGTTTAATCGCATGTTGTTCAAATTGCTTCATATGCCATATTAGTAGCCAAGCCTATTAAATTGCATATTGCATGTGTTGCATTAGGCATCTTGAATAGTTAAGAATCATGCATATTTTTCTAACTCATGTTTTCCTAGCTTGGAGTACTAGGTGAGTTTTTACGCTTTAGCATACTTGCATATGTGTGAGTGTTGCCATGTCTAGCATGTTTTTCATGAGGCTATATGCTTAAATGCTAAACTGCTTGAATGCCTGTGGATGAAGGCTTGTTGTTTGAATTAGAACGATTCAACGAATGCGTGTTTTAAGCCCACTTTGTTAAGTGGCAAATCATGTTTTAAGCCCACTATGTTTGGTTGCAAATCCGCAAACTTTAAGCCCACTTGAGATGGCAAATTCAAATCATTTTCGCAAACAAACATGAGTTGAATTGTTCCAATTTGAGCAAACTAGTCTATACTTGCTTGTGCACATCACATAGTAAAGCTAGTTTAATAATCAGAATAAGAACACATAATGTTTATAAAAATCATATCATGATTAGTAGAGGCCGATCTTTGATCGGGCTAGCACGGGTGCTCAATTCATGACCTTCCCCTCTGGTACCTAAGTTTCCTAACCGAGGCAATTTTGGTGATGACGGACACGTGGCCTTTGGCACGAGTCAAGGTTTCATAAATTTTTCCAAAATAAAAATATTTAGGTAACGACTCTGTCTCTGGCAAAATAGTCCAATTTTGGCATTATTTGATTTAAAATCAATTTTCCAAAAAGGTTTTCCGGATTTGGACTCTTTGGTGTTTATCAGTTTCACATTGCACTTGTGAGACTAGAATCAGAACCGCGGAAGTCCAAACTGTGAGGCCTTCATTTCAAACCTTTCTGGAAGGGGGGGCGTAGAAAAAGGCGAGTCAACATCAGCCAATGGAGGTAGAATAACCACCAGTATAACCAGGAACAACTCCAGCCTTCCCAATTAAGGTGTCATCTGAACACATCTCCCCGTCACCGATATACATGCCCCACTCTCTTGGCCAAGAAACCAACTTGGCTGATGAGGACCCCGAAGAAGACTTCGATTGGCTGGGAAATGAGAGTTAATCTAGGGATAGTAAGCTAGAATTTTTGTGAGATCCAGTCATGGTAGGGGTCCTTAAAATGTATGTAGTAACTTTGTGACTATGGCGTATGTAATGTTTTTGAGTGAAACTATGATATGGAAGCCTTTTGCACTAATACCTAAAATAATTATATGAAATGATGACTTGTTCTATATCTGTTGACTGTTATTTGTTTTAATATTCATCACACCCTAAGAAAACTAAACCTTAACTTCAAATCTCGTAGAAAGATTACCTCTAGCTAGAAATTTAGAAACCAACTTACCCCGTACCATGAACAAAATGGTGGATATGCGAGCTAACAACTATTTAGAACCTAGCAACAATGCCCCAGCATCGTCCTAGAAATCAGCATGGGCCCGTACCCGTAGGAGCCAATATCCCTAATAATCTTGGGCATCAAATTTTGGAGGAATTGGGACAACTAAGGAACAATTGGCAAAACGAGAGGACTCGACTCTTTTTGGAATTCAGAAAACAAAGGCCCCCAAAATTCACAAGAGTTCCAGACCCAATGGTGGCTGAGAATTGGCTTCAACAGATAGAGAAGATGCTGGACACTATAGGAATAATCGAAGATACCGATAGAATAGCCTTGGTCGTGTTCGAGCTTGATGATGAGACCGATCATTAGTAGGAACTAATCAAGAATACGTGCGATGTCACAAACATGTCATGGAACTAGTTTAAGGAATTATTCCTAAATAATACGTTCCAAGCATAGTACACCGAGAGCAAGTCAAGGAATTCCAAAACTTGGAGCAAAGGAATATGACCGTAATGCAATGCGTTGCAAAATTTGAAGACTTAGCCTGTTACGCAACTAGATATATAACAAATGATGAAGAGAAAGAAAGGATGTTCTAGTGGGGGCTAAACTTACAATCAGGGGAAGAGTTCTCCCACAACAACTCCACTCGTATGCCGAGGTGTTGGAGACGACATTAGAATTTGAAAGGGAAGTAGCCAATGCTAGGAAAACTTGGAACAAGCAGAAAGGGGGTCAGACATCTGTAGCACCTCAGAGGAACCAGAAGGGAAATATGGCCTAGAAGCCCTACTCAAGACCACAACCACAACAGCAATGGCAACAATAGATCCAGAAGGGAGGTTATTAACCAAGGCCGGTAGGACAACTCCAGTGCTTTCATTGCCAGTAGGTGGGGCGCAAAAAGAGCGCATGCCCCCAACTCCCTCCATTAAGATACCAGGGAGGAGGTCCCAGAGCAAATGCCCAGGCATTAGGTGGACAAAAGCCTTGGACAAACAAGACAGGATCTACCAGGCAGCAGCACTAGAAGAGTGGAGGAACTCAAAATGCTAGGACCAGTGGCAACTAGAAGGTAACCGGCAGAGTTTTTTCCTTGCAAGAGGAAGAAGCGGACTCGTTTGTAATTGAGGGTAATCTAGTGCTATATAATTCTTGGGTGCATGTTTTATTTGATACTGGTGCATTGTATTCTTTTATATTCTCTGTTTGTGCTAAGTCATTAGAACTTGTACATGAACCCTTAAGAACTACCTTAAGTGTGATATCACCTATGAGACGGCACGCTCGGATAGGGTTGATTTGTGAGAATTGTAAAATAGAAATGTCGAACCTAGGTTTAACTTGCGACCTTTGTGTCATGGAAACGTCAGACTTCGATATCATTTTGGGCATGGACTGGTTGTCTGCCCATTGAGCGGTGATTGACTGCTGTTAGAGGAAAGTTCTTTTATATTCTCTGCTTGTGCTAAGTCATTAGAACTTGTACATGAACCCTTAAAAACTACCTTAAGTGTGATATCACCTATGAGACGGCACACTCAGATAGGGTTGATTTGTGAGAATTGTAAAATAGAAATGTCGAACCTAGGTTTAACTTGCGACCTTTGTGTCATGGAAACGTCAGACTTCGATATCATTTTGGGCATGGACTGGTTGTCTGCCCATTGAGCGGTGATTGACTGCTGTTAGAGGAAAGTAGTAGCTCACACGCCTGACGGAACACGTTTCCAGTTTAAAGGGGGATAGACAAGACTCCATGACTTTAACAAAATGTAGGACATGGTGGCACGACCAGCTTGTGGGTAAGGTAGCAAGTTTTATTTTAAATGAGGAGGGCCAAGAAGAATTAGAACTTCCACTTGTAGTATGTGAATATGCAGATGTCTTTCCTGAGGAATTACAAGGATTGCCACCAACCTGGAACTACACCAATATACATAGCCCTATATCGTATGGCACCGGCAGAACTGCGAAAATTAAAGGCGCAATTGTAAGAGTGCTCAAAAAAGGATTTATTAGGCCAAGTACTTCACCGTGGGGAGCACCCGTATGCATTGATTACCGTCAACCTAACCGAGTAATGATCAAGAATCGATACCCACTCCTAAGAATCGATGATCGCTTTGATCAACTTAGAGGCTCAAGGTACTATTCAAAATTCGATCTTCGGTCGGGCTACCATCAACTACGAGTCAAAGAGGAGGATACACCAAAAGCTGTCTTTCGAACCAGATATGGCCACTACAAGTTTGGAGTAATGCCCTTCAGACTAACCAATACGCCGACAGTATTTATGAGCCTAATGAACAAGATCTTCGCATCGTATCTTGACCAGTTTGTAGTAATGTTCATTGATGACATCTTGGTATATTCATGGTCTGATTAAGAGCATGAACAACATTTAAGGATTGTCCTTCAAGTTCTTAGGGACAATCGGTTGTATGCCAAGGCAAGCAAATGTGACTTCTATTTGAATGAAGTGAAATTCTTAGGGCATGCAGTGTTTGAGAATGGGATTGCGGTGGATTCAACCAAGGTGGAAGCAGTCTTAGATTGGAGACAACAAAAAACTGTGTCAGAAATTCACAGTTTCTTAGGATTGGCTGGTTACTATCGAAGGTTCATCCAAGATTTCTCCAAACTAGCCAGACCTATGACTCATTTGACGCAAAATGGAGTACAATACGAATGTGACAAAGCTTGCAAAAAAATCCTTCCAAGAGCTAAAGAAGAGATTAACTACGCCAATTTTGATCGTTCCAGAATAGGAAGTGGGGTACACTGTGTATTGCGATGCATCTAAAGAAGGGTTTGGATGTGTGCTCATGCAAAATGGAAAGGTAGTCGCATATGGATCTAGGAAATTAAAACCACATGAGCAAAACTAACCAACACATGACTTGGAATTGGCAGCCGTAGTTTTTGCTCTAAAGCAATGACAACATTACCTATATAGGGAACAATTTGAGATTTTCACAAATCACAAGAGCTTGAATTATCTATTCACACAAAAGGACCTAAATTTGAGACAGAGACGATAGATGGAATATCTTGAAGATTTCCAGTTCACTCTCTCATACCATTCCGGCAAAGCAAATGTAGTAACAAACGCCTTGAGTCACAAAGGTAGAGGGATGATAGCTAAATTAGCAATAAAGGAACGGGATATGGTTAGGACACTCAGTGAATTTAGACTTCAGGTAAAATCTCAGGATACAAAGGTATACCTTGGTGCACAGAAGGTAATACCTAAGTTGATAAGTCATATTATGGAGGCCCAGAAGCACGACCAAGAAGTAGCCTATATTAAGGGACGTCTAGAATCAGGAGAACAAATGCTTGACTAGGCAATTCACCCTAATGGGAGTTTAAGATATCAAGGTAGATTGTTTGTGCCAAGTGAAGAGTTGCTTAGAGAAAAGGTACTTAAGGAATGTCATCACTCTATATTTACGGTACATCCATGAGGGACTAAAATGTACCAAGATTTGAAGAGGCAGTATTGGTGGAGCGGAATGAAGAAGCATGTGGCTAAATTTGTAGCAAAATGTCTAACATGCCAACAAGTGAAGGTAGAGCATCATAAACTAGGAGGAATGTTGCAACCCCTGCCAATAGCCGAATGGAAGTGGGAACATGTGACAATGGACTTTGTGACAGGGTTGCCCAGGACACCTAGAGGGCACGATGCTATATGGGTAATAGTGGATTGCCTCACTAAGCCAGCACATTTTTTACCCTATAAGATAAATGACACTTTAGAGTTTATGTGTAGGCTCTACATTGGAGAAATCATTCGACTACACGGAATTCTGGTATCTATTGTGTCAGATCACGATCCATGATTCACCTCCCAATTTTGGAGAAGTCTGCAAGAATCTCCGGGTATTGAGCTATGTTTCAGCACCGCTTTTCACCCACAAACGGATGGACAATCTGAGCGCACCATCTAGACACTCGAAGATATATTGAAAGCCTGTGTAATGGATTTTCAAGGAAGTTGGGAACGACACCTACCCTTAATTGAATTTGCCTATAACAACAAATTTCAATCTAGCATTGGTATGGCACCTTTTAAAGCATTATCCGACAGCGATTAAAGACTACTCAAGACCGTCAAAGGAATTATGCAGATAGGAGAAGAAGGCCATTGATGTTTGAAGTAGGCGCCCACGTATTTCTAAAGGTGCAACCTAGGCATGGGATGTACGTTTTTTAAGAAAGAGGAAGCTATCACCACGATATATCGGACCTTTTGAGATATTAGAGAATGCGGGTGAAGTGGCATATCAACTAGCTCTACCAACGCAGTTAGCAGGGATACACAACGTCTTCCATGTATCTATGTTGCGAAAATACATTGCTGATCCATCACATGTCATTAACTAGGAAGAAATCAGTCTCGACAAGGATGTTACCTTTGAATAAGGGCCTGTAGCAATATAAGATAGTCAGGAGAAGAATCTTAGGGGCAAGACGGTTCATCTAGTAAAGGTGATTTGGCATCGTTGAGGAATCGAAGAGTCTACTTGGGAACAGAAAGATTGGATGAAGGCAAACTACCCCCAACTAGTTAAAAGTAATGTATAGTTAAATTTTGAGGACGAAATTGTTTTAAGGGGGATAGGTATTGAGGCACCTAAAAATTTTATTTTCTTAAAAGTCTCTTGCTTTTAAATTATTTCATTCAAGTCCCTCAGTCTCTTAATTAATTTCAATTTTTAACCCTAGTTTCCGATAATCGCTGTTTTAGCTTAGTATCTCGCCTTTTGTTGCGAATCGGCATCACGTGACTCGAATTACTTTTCCTATCATTATTTTATTAAATATATGACTTAAATATATGTTTTATTTCAAAATTTCAGATTTATACCCTCTTCTTTCCTTATTATTGCATTTTGGCCCCCAAAATCCTAATATTTTATTCAATAAAAGTACAACTAATATTTTACTGATTTATACATAATATCTACTATATTTTGTTTAAAAAAATAAAATTCTCACATGTGGTAAAAGGTGGCCGATTGTGAATAAGAAAGAAGGACCAAGAACTTAATTTTTTTTATATAGAAAATCTTCAATAAAATATTCAAAAAAATCTTTGAAAACATGAAGAAATGGGGAGCAATAAATGCAATGTACGCTTGTCCCCCAATTAACTAATGTAGACACCCCATTTTTGACCTTCCTCATGACTTGGACGTCATCGTTTGAACACTCGATGATTGTTCGTGTTCGTTCTGAGTTCTCGGAGGTCTCGGCTACGCGCCTTACCTAAAGATCTCTTAACTTGATTGTTTTATGCTTGGTTGTGGACCAAACACTTGTGTTTTTGCTTCTAAGGGAAGAAAGTGGCTTGTTAGCCATCCCTACACCCTCCCGGCCAAGGCTTGAAGCCATCGGCCCATCTTTCTTTCCACCGGCCAAGAGTGTTGGCCGATCGGCACTATATTTAGTCGGTCGGCCATTGTGTTGGTCGATCGGCCTTTTTTGCTGGCCGAACCCTGTTCATTTGCTTTATGCAGATATTTTGTGCTAGCAATTAACCCCCTCCATACACGTGAATGGAGGGATTTGCCTCTTGTTTAGCTTCTCTTGGAAGCTTTAGAATTTGACCCTCTATAAAGAAGGAGCCCCTCCTCTCTCCTCCAGGGTTCAAAAAATTGGTTCTTGAGAGGATAGATATAGTGTTGTATCTATTCTTCTTGTTTTAGCGTTGTTTTGTGTCCAAAAGTGTAATATTGTCTTACTATTGTACACAAACACACACTAGAACACCATCCTTGGTTGCTGAGGAACTAGGAGGTTGATTTCAGTGTTTTTGGGTTGGTTTAAACTCAGAAAACGTGCTGGAGCTTTGTTCTTGAAGAGGTTCTACAAAGGTGAGCTTCTTACCTTTAGATACCCCTTTCTTGCTTCAGCTTTTAGCCTATCTTGCATCTGTTTTTAAGCATAACTTATAACTGATAAAAGTTCTTTTTTTAAGTACTTAAAATAGTTGTTTAAGATCACTTTGGTGTTTGGGGTTGTTTACCTCCTCTTAGGCCTTGTTTGGCCTGATGTTCGTGCCCTTTTTGTGAGCCCCGGGACCACCTTGTATTGTCCTTTCCACCACTGAAATCTAGAGGGATTTCAGTGGTGGGGATGGTGTTTTAAAGTCCTAAGAAGGAGAGGGCCATCCCCTCTCCTTGTTGTCTTCAATACTTGTCATATTTGCCTCATATGTGAGCACCTTTGTTAAGTTCATGTCGACCATGTCTTAGCTGGTATTTGTGGTTGTCTTGCCATGATATAGCACTATTTTGACTTGGTTTAGACATGTCATGCATGCTTCGTATACTTGTCTTGTAATTCCATGAAATAGCCTAACATGCATCATGTTGTAACATGTCATTCTAGCATGATTTTGGCTCGACTTCCAGAAGTTTTTATCCATGTTTTGGTATGCTTGAGGTTTGATTTTGGTTTTCTTGGCCATCCATGACTTGCTTTGTATAGCTACCCTACAATCTAGCTTGTAGGCGTCGAGTGTTGAATCCTCTAGCATGCTCTACTTGGATCATTTCAGTGGTTTGGCATCACTTATAATGTTATTTCAGTCCATATAGTATGTTTGAATACTTGCACTTATCGCTCCTTTGATGCTTTAAATGGTTTGTGTTTTGTGCCTCATGAATGTGTCATTGCGTATGCCACCATGCTTCGGTCTTTGGGATGCCATCTAAGTGGGTTTTTGGGCTCATTTTGACATGCCATAACTCTATTTTTGGTTACTTAAATCATGCCATGTTTGGTTGTATTAGGTGTAATGTAACACCTCTTTGGTGGCCTTGCATGCCTCATGATTTTCCCTCTATGTCTTAGCTTGTTTTGGCTTTGGTCATTGCATGTTTTAGGCTTACTTTGCCATGCTTTAGGACTATTTTGGGTCATGCTTGCCATACGCCTTTGTTTTGTGTAGCTTTGGTTCAAGTCCCTTCACTAGCCTTAAGCTTTGGGCCTCCTTGCATGCTACACTTGTTTGGTTTAGCTGATTTGGCATCACTCCTAGCCTCATTTCAGAGCATGTAAAGTTGCTACATTTGCATGCCTTTCATTCCTTTTAAGTGTTCTCAAAAGTTGCCCCTTGATGCTTGTGTGTTAGGCCAATTATCATGCATGTTTGCATGTGATTTTGTCCTTTATCCCTTAGCATTTTTGGCCATTGATTTGGATCTATTTGAGAGTTGTCCATTTTGGTTTAAGACCATCCCCGCATGTTGTTGCATGCTTGCCTTGTATGATGTTACATGCTTGTTGCATATTTGGTAAATTGCATGTTGTAGCATGCTAGTTTAATTGTGCCTTGTGTGTACCTGGTCCATGACATGTTGTTGCATGCCTAAGTTGTAATTCATCTGGCATGCATTCTTTTTTTTTATTTTGCTCAACACATTGATACATGTTTGCATCACATGTTATATGCTTGAATGTTGTTACATGTCTTGCATATTTGCATGCTTAAGTCACATTTGGCATGCTTGTTAAGTTACATGCTTGTTTGCATGCTTGTCTTTGCATATTGTTATATGCTAATTGCCATGTATAGCATTGTTGCTTGCATGCTTAGGTTGCATAGCATTGTACATGCATCCCTTGCCTCTTGATCAACCATGATAGAGGTTGGGGGCCCCTTTATGTGTTTTGTGTGCATTTCATTTGATATTGAAGTTGCACACTTGGCTTCTTTGACCATCATACATTGAAATACGCGATTGATGGTCCGAGGGTCAAGGACTATATGCTCTTGAGCTCATGACATGA